CTATAGTTGACAGTGAATGTCAGGGCACAAGTCCTGAAGTCCAAAGAGCAGTCTGCAGACCGCAGAGACAGGACTGTATCGAGGCACAGATCTGGGAAAGACTACAGAACAATCCCTGCAGCACCGATGGTTCTAATGAGCACAGTGGCCTCCAGATGGCTCTGAAGCTCAGACCTGGGCAAAGGTTTATCGTCCAAAACGACAATAACCCTAAGCCCACAGCTGAGATAACAAAGGACTGGCTTCAGGACCAGTCTGTATATGTCCTTAAGTGGCTCAGCCGGAGCCAAGATACAAATCCAACTAGACATCTTTTGAGAGATCTGAAACTGCTAGCAGCAGCCAGTACTAGCCCTCAGCCTCCTAACAGTTTCAGAATCGCCTTGTTTTAAAGCTATTGCATTCACTGAATTTTCAGAAAACCTGACCCCTGACCTTGAAGTCGAGGTCACCAGGATTCAAACTAGTCTCTGATTTGTTTTTATTACATGTAACTATGGTACCAATTTGAAAATCCTACATCGCATTGTTCTCGAGACATCGCATTGACAATGTGACGTGCACTGACCTTGGGTCAGATTGGTCTGTTTCCTCCAGGTTCTTCTGCTGGTGCTCTGACTTAGAGGGGTAGAATGAGGCCAAATTTGAGGCAATCTGAGGTCAGATTAAGCCTCGCTGACTCAGTCAAACTTCCCCAAAAACTCACAGCATGTTCCCGTCTGCATGTCTGAGCACGTCTGGGGCACAGGCCTGACTTTTGAGCACAGGCCCTGCTACAACATGCCATGTTTGACTGATGTGGATATGCTCACTTTGACTTGGTATTGTTGTAGCATTATTTGATAGAGCCCTCCTCTACAGATCTGCACAACAGTATGGCTGACTGCCTACCCTAGACAGTCTAGAACAGACTTTACACACTGTTCAATGATCTTGTGTGTGAGGTTTTCAAATATCTTACTGTTGATCTGCAGGAGACCTCTGCTGGGAGGCTTGACGCTGCAAAGCCAATCGCTGCTCTTCTTTTTTGGTGATGAAATGGAGTTTCCTCTGAAGCTGGGTTGCCTCCTCTTTCTGTTTCGACAGCTTTTGCTCTAGAATCTCACACTGTCTCTGAAAGTACGCAGAAGGTTTTTCTTTTACCAGTACAAGGAAACTGCAAACCACTGAAACATGAAACATAACATTAATGTTTAAATGTGTGCTCTATAAGAAAACATGCAGTCAATGAAAATAAACACCTACACTCATCTTAAAGAGTTCAGGGTAGCCTGTTAAATGTTTGGGAAACAGCTCAAGGTTCAGTGTTAACTTTGGTGACTTTGTTCATTACAGATAATATGTTCACATCATGTAAACTTTAGCAGACACCTGGAGACATCTGCTTATATGAACTATAGTGTTTTTTCAGTGTTTTACATGCACAGAGCTGTTCAGCATGACTAAGACTTGCAAAAGAAATTTAATTTACTTGGT